CTGACCAGAGTCAAGGGTGACGCCACTTTCCAAGCGGCAAAGCAGACAGATGCCAGCGCTTCAAACAATGTCTGCTTTCACCACCTTTTGTGCCACAACCGCGCGAAACGACAACCTCACCTCCTTCACCAACATGAGGTTTGAATTTAGGTTTTCTTCATTGTCCCCGCCCAATTGCACTTGTTTTGTTTTTTGCGTCGAAAACGGCAAACGTTTTGTTTGGCAGAGTGCGTCGACCACCAAGTGGACCGCCGCCACAGTCAGGTCTGATGCGCAGTGAAGAGGAGTTCGGTGATGACTCCAACCTCACCGGCACCCACGATTTACATCAGTGAACACCGAGGAACAATTTGAGAATGCAGCTGGAATGAATGACCGCCTTCGACGAACTCTGCGGCAACTTGGTGACCTACAAGTCGAGGACCAGCGCTTGCAAGATGAACATTACGCTCTGAAGACAGGGACTGGGCTGATCAACGGTGACCGCGTGAAAATGAAGGGACGGATCACGGAGCACCGAAAGCGCTTTTGATGAGCTTGACCACGACCGACAAGAGTGGCTCACGGCCTACAACAAGGTGAAGAGTCAGCCCTACAGTTTGACCGCGTCATCCAGGTTGAGCGAGACCACCATGACCCGGTCATTTTTCGTTTGAACTAGGACACTTTCCTTGAGCAGGATGCTTACATGAAATCACATGGACACTGCTTTCACATGAGCTCAACAACATGTGCCCAGCAGCGCGCCCGGCATGGCCTTGTGATGAAGCGCGCATGCAACGAATGTTGCGCTAATGTGGCTGACTTCTTGACCAGAGAGCCCTGTGGCGCCGGCTGACTTGTTCTCTATATTGCCCCTATGAATGGCTGCTTTCTGAATGTTCTGCCAGCTAGTTTCGTTTTGTTTTGCTTGTCACCCGTGTGAATTTCAATGCAATGGTTCAACCACTTGCTTTGAGGCATGACAGGTCTTTCCGTTGCCAGCTTGGGAGGGACCGCCGGCATTCGCCGTAAGGCTACGCCGTTGGGAGCATGACGTGCTCTTGATCGCCCTAAAGGAAACTTAGAGAGAGAGAGAGAAAGAGAGAGAGAGAGAGAGAGAGAGAGAGAGAGAGAGAGAAAGGGAGAGAGAGAGAGAGAGAAGGAGGGAGACCACTTCCACCTTGCCACCTCTTTCATATTCACTTACTGTAAAACTTACACTACACCTTGCACCTCCCTACCCGTGTGAAGCTCTCACGAACTCACAGAAGTTGTTTAAGCTCCCACACGCACCCGCATCGCGTGGAAATCACATGGTCGCTAGCTTGCGCCTGCTTCCATGCTGCGTGGCCGAATGTTGCAAAGCTTTGTTCAGAGTTCACGTGAGGACGTGATTCTTCGAGTCCTTTTTAAGCTTTGTCGGGCTTGGGCACAGCAGTGGATGCAGTGCTGGCCTGGGCCGGGTGGCTAGGGCATGCTAGGGCTTTGGAGTGGAGCTGGCCAAACACAGACATTGACATCTGAGATTCCAGATGCCAAATAAACCAAACCTTGCCTTGCAAGACAAAAGCGCCATGAAACACATCAGGCCTCGTCAGAGTTCATCGGTTCCCGGCAACATTTCGCACGTTTGAGCACAGTGCCCACTGCCACAACCCCCGCAAATGTTCACTTGAGCACCTTGAGTGCAGCACATTACTGGGAGAAGACTCGGGCAATGAACGTTGTATGATGGATCATCATGTTTTGTTGGAATCGGAGGGATGCACCAGTGCGACTGCTGTAGAAACCGCAGCTTACTTTTTGGGCCCAAAGCCGGTCCACAAACGGTCGTGAGATCTTTGTACGTTTTTGCCATGTGCCTAGCTGGCCGCTTCGTAGTGCTCGTTCTGGGTTTGATTGGTTTGCTTTGCCTTTGGCCATGGCAAACATCCTTCGAAACCGAACTTGATCCGAGTCGCCAACTACATGAAGATCCTGGCGCAACGGATGATGGGAACAACACGGGCTTCGTGACACCTAAATGGGCACCACGGTGTGAAATTAACAAGACCAAACTCAACCCAACATGTTTGCCAGAAAAACTTTTCAATGAAACGCAGATGTGGGACTTCACTCACCTTTGTGGAGTGCAAGCAGCTGCAGCGAGCCTTGCGAATTTGAGACTCGAAGCTCCTGTCAAAGAGATCTCTGGAGTTTTGTTTGACAACATCATTGCAACCGTTGAATCTTTTGCAACCGGTGTTTTGACGGTTGGCCTTCTCTACGAAGGAAACAGGGTGGAGAAGAAAGGCTACGAACAACTGAGCCCAGAGGAAAAACCAGGAATGTGCAAACAAGCTTTCGTCCTGGTTTCTTTTTGTGCTACGACGTACTTAGCTGTATCTGCCGGAGTGACTGTGATGAGGAAGGTTTTTGAGGAGTCCACAGAGTTCTTTCTCGGGGTGATCCGTCTTGAGACTAGTTTCGCTTGCAAATCAGTCCTGTTGTCACAAGTTCTCTACTACAAAGATCTCTTGGCTTATTTAGCTCTTTCCAGCTTTTGTGTGCTGGATGTGATTGGGATTCTATACGTGGCGGGTGGCTTTGTGCTTTCAGCCCTCAACCTGTCTTGCCAGACATGCTGGTGGCCTACATGCCAGGCCTGGTGGAGCAGCTTGTTGAGCTGTTGCACCTGCTTCTGGAGTTGTTCATGGTGCTCTTGTTGGGCGTCATGCTGTTCATACCTGAAGTGGTACCTTTGCCAAGGGTGGTGGATGTTCTGGGTGCAACTTTGGAAACATGTGGTTGCTTTCTGCGGATGGTGGCGCGACTTCTGTATCCACTGCGGACCCTCTTGCAAGAACTTCTGCAGTGCGTTCTGCTACACCTGTTCGGCCTTCTGCAAAGCTTGTTGCATTTGCATTCCCCATTGTTTTTGCTGTTGCTTGTGCTGCCTTCCAACCGCGGGTGCCGCCTTCATTGTGGGCGTCCTTCTTTGCCTCTGTGTATTTCCGTTAGTCGTCTACATCCTGGGAGCAGTACTTGGCTTTGCTGCGGCCACTGCAATCATCCTCAGCATCATGGTGGCCTTCACAATGGTAATCTTCTATGTGTGCTCCCAAGTAGTGACCGCATTGCGCAAAATTGGGTCAACATGCAAGCTGGTAGAGAATCCGCCAGAGTTCAGGACAATTTCTGAGTACTACGGCCAATACTTTCAGGACATTGGCACTTGTCCAAGCAGGTCACAGACGTCGGGGAGGATTTCAAGGTGGACAGCAGCGAGTTGGAGAATGTTAGCTGTCTTCCAGCTGCAGTCAGAAAGGTCCTAGTGCATGCCAAGTGGGTGTCTTCTCAAAGATCGGCATTCGTTTTTCTGGTCCCTGTGGTGTTGATCCTGCTCCTCTTTCTGTCAGATGCGTTGGCAGAGAGTGCAGTCTCTCAGTTGCTCTTCTGGAAGTGCTATTTCAGCGAGTTTGGGTGTCCCAGTGACGTGCAAAACCAGCATACCTTGACACAAACAACGGTGACATTAGCTGGTGTGAAGGTACCAGAAGGCTGGCCAGTCTTTGATGACCCCAGGGTCGTATGTAGATGCTTTTCGTGCGATGGTGAGGCAATTACTGGAAAGAGCTCTTGTGGTCCAAAGTGGGCACCAGGTGCCGTTGGAGAAGACCTTTATGGATGCGCACTCCGCAGCAAGAATCCTCAGCAACACTTGCGCGCAAGCCGAAGAGCGTCCAATGAGTCCAACGCAAAGGTGGGAGATGCTTCAAGTGCATCAAGCACACTTGATGTGCAGAACCATACCTTGAAAGCTCCAAAGGTTCACCTGGGATATGATGCGATGTTGCTCGGCTTCATGGGGGGGGAGGACTATGCCGAGCCCATTCTGCTGAACACGCACCACCTGCCAGTGGCTGAGAAAGCTTCAAAGAACTGCACCGGAGAGCTGGTTGTTGAAGAGGAGCGCACTGATCTCATTTCACTCCTTATTGAGGCCTATTTGAAATACAAGGTGACAAAGGCTCACTACTTGGATGGATGGTGTGATTGTTCATCTGGTGTCTTTGTTCCGGCTGCTCATGACCGAATCTGGCACCGGTGGGCTTGGTCAGGTGCATGGACGGCCAAGGGGGTGACGAGTTTCCTGAGTGCAGAGCGGGAGGATCATCCAATGTGGACAGAGACTTGGCTCAAGCGGCAAGAACGACATGCGGATTACAATGTGCACACGGCACAGGACTTTGCAAAGACTCCTTTACCGAATCCGGGGAGGCCTTTTCAAGACTTCTTCCAGTCGTATGGGCCGTTTGGGAGGACTTTTGCAAGCATCTCGGAGCTTTATCACTACCTTTTTGTGGACGTCGTTTGGGGCTATATTTCCTGGTTCATCTCGGACCTACGCGGGGCCATGGAGTGGCTTTTCTTGGAGGTTTTGACTCTGGAAAGCTTGATCGCTTCACTCAAGATTTGGCTGGACGTTGAAGCTCAACTTGAGAAGTTGAAGTACATTGTAGTTTGGACTCGTAGTGCCTCAGCCTTTATTTTGGGCATTTGGGCAGGCTTGACTTAATAAGAGATCGTCTCCCAATGTCCGATGAGTTTGCCAAAGATGCAACTTCCACTTTGCAAAGTCTTTGCGCCTGTGAATTCGAACCACCTTGGAATTACAGAGCTGGTTTCTGGCCCTTTCAGAAGGAGAAAGCAGGCGGCCACCACTTGCACCCATGAAATCTCCAAGCTCATGGCGCCAGGGAGTGCAGTAGGGAGCTGCATAGACGGAACCTTTTCAGACTCCTGCCTGTGCATGGTTGGAACTTAGTTTGTTGTATGGCTGCCCTGCACTGTTGGCCCAAACGGTGTATCGCCGTGACAACTGGCCCGCTGGAATCTTGAGCTACTCTGAATCAGCTCAACATTCCCTACTAAAACATGTATGGTCATCCTTTGCGTATTAGTGTCCCATGCCCCGTTGCAGAGGGTGTCTTGTTCTGAAGCACTATCGTATCACCTTGGGGGCTTCGAACCGATGGATGAGGATCATGCAGAAGGAAGTCGACCAAGTGAGGACTGGCGGGTGCTCGCCAACATGCCGATAGAACCACTCTTGCTGTTTCACCCCTACATTACATGGGGGTTGAATAAATCATAATAAATCTGCATGACCCAGGTGAGGAATGACAGGCCATTCCTTGTGTGTTTCTGAGGGGGTTCCACCTTGTTCGATCATCAATCTTGTCGTGCGCAAGCCTGGCCTGCAAGGATGCGGTTGACTTTGCACCGAACGTGCCTGCCAATTGTGGCTTGCATTTATTGGGCCTGAGCTCGTGGCTGCGCAAACGGGGGGTGTAACTGATTGGCATTTTCCGAAGTTTCCTGATTTCCCTGCAAAGCAAGACGGTTCGCACGATTGATTTCTAGCGATCTTTTGTCGATATTTAGCTCCAAAAAAGGCGATTCAGCCCAGGTGATTTCTGCAATCTCCATCATCGAAAGCCGGAGTGGAATGGACCCTCAGGAGGGCCAAGCGACACGCCATCAAGCAGCAGATCTTCAAGTACTTTCTAATCCAGGATGGGCAGATGCCTTTGGCCAACAGTGGCCTTTCCACTTGCAATGCCCTGGCCCCAAGTCCAGTCGTTCCACAGGAGGAGGCTGCAAAACATCCTTTCGCTCGCAGCTTTGTCAAAGATGGCGATGACGATGATGATGGTGATGATGATGAAGGTGATGATGAAGGTGATTATGATGGGTGGTAAATGAACCAATTCGGGAATTCGGGATGTCCAACACCTTTTGCCATCGTGGTTATTTGTTTGGTGCTTGTAGGCCTAGCAGTCGGGGGCGATGAATACCTACATACATACATCCATGCATACATAATCATACATACATACATACATACATACATACATACATTTGGTTCAAGCCATTTGAGGTCTCAACCTGGTCCCATACAAAGTCCAGGCACAGGACACACGCCATTGGAGCCGAGCCCCGTCATCCACGAGGGCATTGGACTCCTTTGCCCGTGATCCTCGACTCCAACTTCGACCTTTCTGTTGAGACCTTTGGCACCTGGCAAGTTCTCGCCCTGCAAAAGGCCTTTGATAACTTGAGGTACGAGCACAGCCTTAGGGACATTGTGCACTACCACTTTGCCCGTGATCCCTACATCCCTGAAGAAGCCTTTGGCCAGATCGTGATCGGGGCAGTGAACATGGACTGGTGCAGGGCCTATACCCCTTGCAGCAAGGCCACTTGCAACAACTGGATATGGCAGGACAAGATGTATCCTGGCACCAGGTGTCGTCGCTGTGGCACTATGTGGATGACAGCAAGCACTACCACAGGAAAGGGCAAAGGCTATGGCAAGCCTGCTGGCAAGCTCATCAAGGCTCCAAGATCCTGGCCCGAAGCTCCTCCCGGTTTGCCAAAGGTCAAGCCACTCAAGAAGACTAAGGTTCAACAAGAGGCCACCGAACTTTTGGCATCCACTTGGACTACTCTGACTGAGGACACTCAGCATCGCTTGCAGGCCATCGGAATTGGCCCCACCAAGCCAGATGAACCAGAGCTCAAGGATGTGCTTAAGTCACACATGGAGGCCCTACCTCAACAAGTTCAAGACCTGGTCAATAAATTGACCACCCCTGAGCCCTGTACTGAACGTGAAATTGCAGCCAAGCTCAAGGGTCGTGTGACAGACCTCAAAAATCTTTCCATGAGAAAGACCCAACTCCAGGCCAAGATCGACAATGTCAAAGCTCAATATGCAGCTCTGTTGACTGACATGCAGGAGCTCCAGGGCAAGCTTACCGAGGGTCAGCAGTCACTCAAGACGCTCTCAGATGACTACATGAAAGCGGTCAATCAGACCCCAACTCCTTCTGAACTGCCGACGGCCCATGGAGAAGCTGAACAGATTCCCATGGCGGTTGAATCCTTTGTCCATAGCTTGGGCATCTCTTTGACAGACGAGCAGAAGACTCAGCTGCATGGTCTCCTCAAGCGACCCAACAATGAGCAGGAGGACCCCACCAAGCGGCGGAAAACCGACACGCCAACTCTTGGGAAATCTGGACAGTGTGGGTAACATGAGCTCACTCATGTTTCAGGGGTGGACTTTCCCGGTTCCGGAAGATGACCTCATGTCATGTGAAGGCCACGAAAGTCCGATTTTGACACCAACCAGTGATGCTTTAAATTTTGTTGCGGATCGGCCATTGACAGTGCAATCACCAACAACACCGGTTTGCCGTGCTGTCACAGGCTCAGAGACGCTTATGGGGTTTTCAGCGTGGAGTGCAGGGGCAAATGCACTACAACCAGCTGAGCAATACAACAGACAGAGCTTTTCTACCTTGAGCAACGAAGATTCCACTCTTGGTAGACCAGAGCAACAGACCAGTTTTGAGCAACATCGACAGACAAACACTTCTCAGAGCACTCTCACTCCTCGGGCGCCTGATGGTTTGACCTATCTCTCCATTTTGGGAGGAGCACCTACTGGCACCTGGACAACACAGAGTCAGACCACGGTGGCATCAAATATGCAGAACTATGCCACATCCACCGATTGCATCCTCCAGAACCTCACCATGGTGGTTGGCAATCCAAGCCTCAGGTGTTTTGCTAATGCACCTTGGAGAGCTTTCACTTGGGTGTGCGCTTTGCTCCAAGAAACCAGCACCCAACCATGGGGCACAATCCAGGAGGCCGTCCAGGAGTCCATTGACACCGCGGAGCCAGTGGATCTGCAGGCCTTGCCAGGCTTGAGAGACCTATGGAAGCAACATGATCTGAACACCCAAGGCGATGCAAATCATTTTGTCAACTCTCTGTGGCTCCAGTCCCAAAGCAGAGCATTTCATTATCGCTTTGCAGAAATCCGTGAAGGAGGATACCTCACAGATCATGTGCAGCAGCCCATCTTGGTTCCCTTTCCGGATGATTGGCCTGACAATGTGACCTTCCAACAATTGGTGAACAATTGGGCCAATCAGGGCATGGGGCAATACTTGCTGGACGACAAGAAGATATTGGTATGCCATGTCACCAGGAATACCTGCATTGAAGGTGAAATGACGAAGCATCAAAAACCCTTCAATCCATATGGCACCTTCACTGTGCCACGGTCATTGGATGGCTTCTCTCGCACATCCACTGAATTTGTCCCGGCAGTCCTGATCTGCCACAAGGGCCGGACCCACCATGAAGGCCACTACTTTGCTATCTTGATCTACAGAGACCTCATGTGGATCGCGGATGATGGCAAGGTACCACAGCACCTGCCACACTTGACACCGGCCCTGGCCAGTCAAATCACCCAAGTCTGGGCAGTCAACATCGATTGCTTTAAGACTCCACAACAAGTCCTGCAAGGACTACCGCCAGCAGATGAGCCGGATTTCGATCCTCCGCTGCGCCCCAGTCCAGTGAAAAGGGCCAGATATGCACAGGATCACAACTCCCTGTACTATGCCAATGTCACCAACCTGGGCAAGCAAGTCATTGAATGGTACTGGACTCGTGACAGTGGCATCTACATCTTTGTAGAGACCCACTTGGACCCTCAAAAACATTGGGAGCTCAGCCAATATTTCAGCATCCGTGGCCGCACAGTCTTTGGCACACCTGCGGAACCGAACCAAGAACAAACAGGCACTCATGGAGGCATCATGGTTATCGCTGATCCAGCCTGTGGCCTCACGCCATTCCAGTCTTACACCAACAAAGGCTGTGGCTATCAAAGCTTTCTCTGGCAAGCCACCGAAACCACCATTCTGGTTGTTGGCCTCTACTTGAGGACCGGGGAGACCTTTCAAAGCGACATCAACTCGGACATCCTGGCCCAATTGCTGTCACTGCTGACCCAAACAACACATCCCTATGTGCTCATTGGAGATTGGCAGAATCCACCTAGTGCCTTGGCCAGTACTGTCCTGTCTTCAAAATTTCACTTTGGCATTTTGGCACCAGATCACAGTGTACTGTCTGGCAACACCATCGACTATGCGGTACTCCACAACTCTCTTGCAGGCACTACCTCGCTCCAAGCACATTGGGCAGTTCCATGGAGACCACATGCACTCCTTCAATTGACCTTTGACATTGAAGCTGCAACCATGGAGTATCGCCAGATGCCATACTTCCCGCCCATGCCCAAGGTGCCTGACATTGATTTCCGACCGTGGACCACTTACCAATCCCAGGCCAACAGCCTCGACCTATACGGCATTCCTCCCAATGAAGCCGCTCAGGCATGGGCAGATTGGTTGTCCAAAACAGAGCAATACCTCCTCCAGGAGAACCCGTGGGCAGCTCAAGGCCGTGGGCATCATTTGCAAGCAGTCACAAAGCCATTGATGCTCCAGCCAAAAGGACACACCTGGCGCAAGGGTCGCCCAGCCTTTTGGGATCAGATCAAGGCTGTCTTCCACCTGGCCTTACAAACGCCCCCGGATGTTCAATCTGGCCCAATCCGGGGTTTTCATCAGCGACTGCTGAAAGTGCCGCAGCAATGGATTGGAGCGCCTACATGGAGCCAGTTTTTGGACACATGCCATCATTGGATCAGATACCGAGATCCACATGCGGCCGAGTTGATCCTGCAAACCATGACACATCAACTTCAGGAAGCACAACAACATGCTCAGGAAGAAAGCACTTTGCAGTACCGCCAATCGCTTCAGGAGGGACACCAAAAGGGCCTTAGAGGGCTCTTCCGCAGTTTGAAGAGTAGCGAATTAGCCTGGGAAAGGCCGTATCGCATGACACCAATGCCACAAAGAATGAACCAGCGACTTGCTGACTGGGGTGGGCTATGGAAGATTCGTCAGGACAACGACCCAGCACCGAGACCCGACCTCAAGCTCCAGGCTCAAAGGCAAGCCCAGACACTGGCACCCATCACACCAGGGCAACTCCAACGAGCCCTAAAGGCCATGCCAGAGCGAGCCAGCGGACCAGATGCAGTTTCAGTTCAAATGCTCAAGGCAACACCTCCATTGGCTCTGACACCCCTGCTGCAGCTGTTGCACCAGATGGAGAGGATGGCTGAACTTCCAACTCAACTGCAAATGCATCTTGTGGTCATGCTGCCCAAGAACCAAAAGCTAGAGCGGCCAATCACCCTTACATCCACACTGTGGCGATTGTGGTGCAGGCTTCGAAAACCACTGCTGGACCAATGGCAGAGGCTGCTGCCTGAGACCATGAGCCATGACAAGGCAAGACCAGGGGCCAATGTCCTCCATGTGGCCTTGGCCAGACTCCTCCGCCAAGAGGTCACGAAGGCCAGACAGAAGCATGGCATCACAGTCCTCATGGACATGTCTACCTTTTATGACACCATCAACCTATGCAGCCTGCAGGAAGAGGCCATTCGCTTGGACTATCCACCACTAATGTTGGAATTGGCCATGCAGCTTTACTGCGGACCCAAAGCCATCCTGGCTGAGCAAGAGCTGACTCCATTCTTCCATGTGGACCATGGTGTACCAGCGGGCTGCCCTCAAGCACCACTACTGGCGAAAGCAGTGCTGGCACCAGCCCTTATCCCATGGAAAGACAGCCACCCCACAGCACACCTATCCAGCTGGGTTGATGATGTCGGCTTTGATCTTGAAGCAAGCGCGGCCCTCCAAGTGGCACAACAAGCTGTAGCAGCGTAT